TAATTACTGATAGGTGTGAGTTTATTGCTGTAATTTTGTAGTGCTTTTTTTTGTGGTCCTGACGTTTTCTCTGTTCCTGTGCTGAATTCCTTTTGTTTGTGAATTTTTTTCATTTCTTTTGTTTTTCTAGGTTTTGTTTTTACTGAGACTTTATGTTTTTCTTCTTTATTTTGATGAGTAGGTTTGTTAACTTTCTTTGTGGTTACCTTTATCTTCCTAAGTTTGAAGCAGTCTATTATTACTTGGTATCGCCTTGCTTTTCTCTCCATTAGAAGGTTCTATACCTACACCATTTATTCCCTCTTCTATTGTTGTGATATTGTTGTCATTTACAGATTAACTTCTCTGATTCCATGTTGTATTTCTTTTTGGTTTTGGATAGTCCTTGAGAGTTCATTTCCTAGACTGGTATCTGGCTGGTATGATCCTGTGTCCTAGATTCAGCCTGTGAGCTGATGTTTTTGTTCTCAGATTGAAGGACCCCTTTTAATAATTCTAGTAAGTTTGATTTGGTTTTTACATATTCCCTAAATTTCTGTTTATCTGGAAATGTCCTAATTTCATCATCAAATTTGAATGAGAGTTTTGCAGGATATATTATTCTTGGCTGGCAATTGTTTTCTTTCAAGGTTTTCTATATGTCATCCCATCACCTTGTTGCCTGCATGGTTTCTGCCGAATAATCTGAGCTTAGTCTTATTGTTTCTCCTCTGTATGTGACTTTTTGTTTTTCTCCAGCTGCTCTCAGGATTCTTTGTCTTTGGTTTTAGCGAGTGTGATTATGATATGCCTTGGTGATTTTCTTTTGGGGTCTATCCTATACGGGGTTTGCTGAGCTTCTTGGATGGCCAGATTTTTATCTTTCATGGTATTGGGGAAGTTTTCTGTTGGCAGTTCTTCAATGATCCTCTCTGTGTTTTCTGTTTTCTCTCCCTGTTCTGGAACTCTGATCACTCTAAAATTTTTGCTTTTGATTGTATCCCACACAGTTTTCAGGGTCTCTTTCCTTTTCTTCATTCTTTTTTTCTGATTTTTCCTCAGAGTTTTAGCCAAGTGTTTGTCTTCAATTTCGCTGATCCTGTCATCCACCGTTTCAAATCTGCTCCTCAACCCTTCTATTACACTGTCCATTTCTGAAATCTTATTGTTTATCTTTTGGATTTCTAATTGTTGTTTTTGTATGATTTCTAGTTGTGAATTTATTTTAGCATTTTGTTCCTGCATTCTTTTCCTGAATTCTTCCATTTTTTTGGTCTGTATTTTCCATGAATTTGTCTGCCTTTTCCATGAATTTGTCTATTTTTTCCTCATGTGTGTCTGCTTTTTGCTTTAATTTTTGGATAGCTCTGAAGAGTAGAGATTTGAATTCCCTACCAGGTAGTTCTAGTGCCTTGTTTCCTACCAGAACGTCATCTGGTGTTTTATTTTGGATGCCTACTGGAACCATCCTATCCTGTTTTTGTAAACGTTTTAATATTGCCTGCTGTCTTTGGGACATTTGGTAGTTATTTTCCTCATTTATTGATTGTAGATTTGTTTGCTTTGTCCTGCTTTTTTGTTTTACTTGGTTATGTCTGAGCAGGTGGGCTGTGTGTTCTTTGTTGTTTGCTCGTCTGTGAGCATGATAATTTTTGACTCCTTTTCCAGTTGGCAGGGTCAGTTGCTCAGATATGGTACAGCAGGGCAGGTCTAGCTGAAGAGTAGTTGCTGGGATGGGTTGTTCGTGGCACATACTAGGGCCAACAGGGCAGGCCAGGAATCAGTGCAGGGCAGGTTCCGGTACGCCATGCCTGCGCTGCTTGGGGGTGTGATGTTCAGCACATGGTGCAGGTTGGCAGGATGGAGCGGGGAGATTGTGATGTGTGGAGCTAAGATGGGTTTGGGAAAGAGGAGAGAGAGGAACAAGAGCCAAAAACATACAAAAAAGAGTGCTAAGAGAGCTTGCCGTGGGAGTGGAGAGATGACAAACCGAGAAATGGAGAAAAACAAAAAGGAGAAGAAAAAAAATGAATAAAAATTAGAAAGGAAAAAAAAAAAAAAAAAGCAAAGCTCTCAAGGATCACACCAGTGTGGCTGCGAGGTCTGGGGATGTTGCTCCCAGGCCATGAAGTACAGCCTGGCTAGAAGGGGTCAGAGGTGTCACTCAGTGCCAGGTATTCAGGAGACAGGAAGAGAAGGTAAGTATAGAGAGATGAGAAACTGAGTAATGAAGAAAGACAAAAAAGGAAAAAGAGAGAGAAGAAAACAAAACAAACAAATTTAAAAAAAAGCAAGAAAAAAAATGTCCTCAGGGATCCCTCTGCATGTCTGCACAAACTGAGGGGGTAGGTCCCAAGCCATGCAGTACTGCCCAGCTAGAACAGGCTCCCAGGTCGAGAAAAGAAAAAGAAAACAAACAAACAAATAGATCAAAACAAACAAACAAACAAACAAAAGCCCCGGGATCCCACCAGTGTGGCAGCATGGGCCAGGAAGCAGTTTCACATTCGAGTGACGTTTCACAGCCTTTCAGGAAGAAGCAAAGATGGCGCACGGAGCCAGGTATTTGAGAGAAAGGAGGGGGAGGTGGTGAGAGATATGGAAGAAACCAGAAGCAGAAAAAAGCAACACCAGCAGCCAACAAATGGCACTCAGGGAGTCAGCCATTGCGGGCAGGCGGAATCCAAGCAGCCCTGGAGCGAAGCTGGTGCTTCCCGGCCAAGAGACTGTGGCCACAGGAAGCGGAGGAGGCCGAGTAGAGGTGAAGAAGGATGACAAGTGGGAAAGCGTATATCGCTGGTTACTGGTTGTTCTATCTCCTGCTGGAAGCTCCATGAAGCTGCTTTCCCATACCCTCTGTTTACCGATCTCCAAAAGGAGTCCAAGATGGCAGATCCATGCTGCGTTAGCTGATAGGGGGCCTCTGCATGTATCTCTCCTCACTCTCTGCTCTCTGTCAGTTTCTTATTCCATTCAGTGCTTGGCTGAGTTCTTTATCTCTTCTTTTGATGCTTAGGGTTTCAGGATTGACGTTTTCTGCTTGGCTTAGTTTTTTTGATCTTTGCTGTGGAGGGACGGTGTGGTGCTTCTATCTATAGCACCATGTTGGCCAGAAGTCATCATTATCACTATTATTGTGATTACAGAAACAGCTAACATTTATGGATCTCATTCAATTTCACCACAGCCAGGGAAGAAAGGAAAAGCATTCCTATTTATCAGATGTGGAAACTGAGGCTCAGAGGGGTGAACTGACTTGTCCCAGGCCACCCAGCAAATAAAGTGTTGGAGCTGGAATTCAAACCCAGGTCTGAGCCCAAGGTATGCTCATAACAGCTGTGCTCCCAGCAAGGGCCTTTGAAGAGAACATTCAGTTGTAACCTTCCCATTTCTCTGTTCCCCCTAGAGGCCCTACCCAGCCCTCCTCAGAGCAGGAGGCCTGGGTTGTAGCCTGGGCTCTACCATAAACATGTTGCATGACCTCAGGAAAATCACTTCCCTTTTCTGGGCCTCAGTGTTCCCCTCTGGAAAACAGGCTCTGTGCAGAGCATTCTGATGGCCATATCTTATTCCTGGCACTTTAAGCCCTCTATTAAGTATCTTCTTATCTCTGTCTTACATGGCAGATTAAGAGATTACACTGGTAAACTCTTTTTGTGTGCTGCTGAGTCAATTCTGACTCATAGCGACCCTACAGGACAAGAGTAGAACTGCCCCAAAGGGTTTCCTAGGCTGTAATCTTTCTGGGAACAGAACGCCAGGTCTTTTCTCCTGCAGAGTAGCTGGTGTGTTCAAACTACTGACCTTTTGGTTAGCAGTAGAGTGCTTAACCATTGAGTTACCAAGGCTCCTCAATGGTATGCAATAGGTGCCTAATCAATGTTTCTTGTAAAAGTAAGCATACTACTTAGTAAGTAAGCTACTCCTTACTGGGCACCTGCTGGGTGTCTGGCCAATGCTAAGGTTTGCCTTACCTAATTCTCTCAACAAAACCCATGAAGTGAGCCCTCTAGTCATTGCCATTTCACAGAAGAGCAAACCAGCACTCCAAGGGTTAAAATCTTGGCTGAAATCATGCTATGATAGGAGGTGAGAAGTTCTGGTTTAATCGCTTGTCTTTAGTTCTTTTGTTAGCAATTACTTGATCTGGAACAAATGCCCACATATTGCCTAATGTGCTCATAGATTTAAAATATTCTGGCTGAGGATCTCTTGACTATCTTAGTTTTAATTTACATACATAGTGCTTTTCATTTGTTTGTATACAAGTAAGTTATTTATTCAGGTTGTGTAGGCATTGTTCAATTCTTTCTGATAATGGCTTCTAAGTAACAATGGACAAAAGAAACCTCAGGAAGATTCTTTAAAAAAAAACCCACTGGCATTGAATTGATTCTGACTCATGGCAAACCCATGTGTATCAAAGTAGAACAGTGCCCCATAGGGTTTTCAATGGCTACAACATTTCAGAAGCAGGTCATTGGGCCTTTCTTCCAAGGTGCTGCGGGGTGGACTCAAACCTCCAACCTTTCGGTTATTACCCGAGCGCATTAACAATTTGTACTACCCAGGGACTCCATTTAGTGTCATCAAATTTCTCCCACCCATAAACTTTGACCAGAGTTAGAGAATTATTATAATTTTTATCACTTTCTAGTCCTCTAAGTCTTTAATTGGTAGGTAGTTAGCAAGTTCTGAAATGGACATGCCCAGTCTTTTATTTGCAAATAAAAATGTCCAGGAGAAAATAAAAAGTGGGGATTGTACATATATAATTTTTATAATTTCATTATGCTAAATATACATATATAATACAAAAGTTGCCCCTCTAACCATTTATAAGTGTACAATTCAGTGGCATTTAATTACATTTGCAGTACTGTGTAACCACCACCACCATCCAGCTCTAAAATATTTTCATCACCTGAAACAGAAACTCAGTCTCCTTTAAGCAATAACTTCCCATTCTTCCCCCTCCCTAGCCCCTGGTAACCACCGATCTCTGTCCATTTGCCTATTCTAGAGGCTTCGTATTAAGGCAGTGGTGGTTTAGTGGTAAAATTCAATTCATGCCTTCCTTGCAGGATTCCCTTTCAATGCAGCTCATGAGCAGCCAGCACCTGTTTGTCAGTGGAGGCTTATGTGTTGCAATGATGCTGAATAGATTTCAGCGGAGCTTCCAGACTAAGACAGACTAGGAGGAGAGGCCTGGCGATCTGCTTTAGAAAATCAGCCAATGAAAACCCTATGGATCACAATGGTCCATCCCATTGTGCGTGGGGTCACCATGAGCCAGGGACGATTCAACAGCAGTTAACAACAACAGGTACTTTATGTAAGTGAAATCATATGCATGTAGTCCCCAGCTTACAATGAGGTTCCACTCCAACAACTCCGTCCTAAGTTGGTTCTGATGGAAGTCGAATACTTCTTTTTTTTTTTTAGTTTTCATAGCCTGTTATACAGCAATGTTTTGAACAGTAAATCATAACATTGAACATCTGCGAGTGAACATCTGAGAATGATAACATCAGCAAATTACACGCAGCAACGTTGGATGTAGTACATACTACTAATGTTGAGATGTACCAGGAAAAAAAAAAAAAAAAAAAGACGGTCATAAATGCAGTTCATCACAACTCGAATACATCGTAAGCCGAGGACTATCTGTATTTAAAGGCACATATTTCACTTAAAAAAATCTTGCCTAAAGTCACCTGACGAGGAAGTGGCAGAGATGGGATCTGATCCCAGGTCTGTCTGGCTGCAAACAGGGTGAAGTGACATCAGTGGCCTCCAAGGTCACAGTGTGTTGTGGGCCCATTTGGTGGTGCCCTCGGCCATCTGGCAGAAGCTGATGGCCTGGCTCAGTCTCCTCACTCAGGCCTCTCCATAGAGCCAAGGTCACAGGAGGGAAGCATGTTCTCATTTGGGGACACTCCAATGGCTCACTAAGAAGCTTTTCAGGGAGAAGAAAAAAACACTCCCACGTACATGCACACACTGACTAAACTGAATTCTGACTTCAGGGACACGCACAGCACGCGTGTCCACCCACTGTGAAAGTGTAGCAGGGACCGAGGAGTGCGGTTATTTCTGGAACCTCATGAGCAGAGCTGGCTGGGGGTCTGAGTCATGCTCGGAGCCCCCAGCCTGTCTCCCTTGCTGAGACAGCTGGACATGATACCTCAGGATGTGTCACTGGCTCTGAACTCCCTATTTTCTTTTAGAGTCCCCATCCATCTGCTCCCTTGATTTACAACAACCTTAGGCAGAGAGAGTAAAGAACACTGACCCTGTTCCTCAGATGTGAAACCACTTTTAGCCTGTGCTGAATGACAGTCAGTGATAACAGAACTCATGGGGACGGGGAGGCATCACCTCCAGCATGAACCGGGGTCACCTCTTCATGGGGTTGTTGTAGGCCAGTTGCCGTTGAGTCGATTCCGACTCATGGAGACTTCATGCATGCAGGGTAGAATTGTGCTCCATAGGGTTTTCAAGGCTGTGACTTTTGGGAAGCAGATCGCCAGGCCTGTCTTCCGAGGTGCCTCTAGGTGGGTTCGAACAGCCAACCTTTCGGTTAGTAGTCAAGTGATTAACTGTTTGCACCACTCACGGACCTCATGGGGGTGGTGGTGGTGTTCACCATCGAGTCGATTCTGACTCACAGCAACCCTACAGGACATAGAACTGCTCCACAGGGCTTCCTAGGCTGAAACCCTTAGGGGAGTAGATCGCCAGGTCTTTTCTCCCATAGAGCTGCTGGTGGGTTCAAACCACTGACCTTTCGGTTAACAGCTGAGCGTGAACCACTGTGCCACCAGAGCTCCTTCACTGGGGTGTAGAAGTCATTTTTAATTTCTTCTCCATATTTTTCAATGGAGTCCCTTTGGAATCCAAAAATAACTATGGAGTTAAAAGAAAAAACAGTGCGAGAACCCTCACTCAAAGGCACCACTTCCCTGAGGCAGCCCGCAAAGAAAGAAGGCATTTTTCAAGGCCACAGGCCACCGACTCACCACAGAAGGAGATGATGTGGCTGCTGTCTTCGTGGACAAACTTGCGCGTGACAGCCTCTTCCATGATCTGCTTCACCTAGAAGACAGAGGTGGCTGAAGAGGGGAAGCCCCAGCACGGCCCAGGGTGCAGATACCCCCCAAAAAAGTCTGCAGACACCTGAAAAGGCTGCATCGATCCCTTTGCAGGTTGTCTGTCATGATTTGTTAATGCTTTGCTGCCACACTGTCCTCACTGTGTCTTCCGCAGGTCTGAGGCCTGTGGTAGCTACCAGCTTTACACTTTACTTATTTTTTCAGGCTCTTTGCATGGCTCGCTTCTTCTTACAGGTGTCACACCAAAGATCATCTCTGTGGAGCAGCCTTCCCTGGCCACATTATCTAAGGCAGCCTCTCCTACTCCATCCTATTGCCTATGGCAGCTCCTTCAGAGCACTACCACGCTCCATTTATTTGTTCATTGTCTGTCTGCCTCTTCTAGCCACCAACCACCTGTCAGTTTGTCATACTGTGGAAGTTTGCATGTTGCTATGATGCTGGAAGGTATGGTACCAGTATTTCAAATACGAGCAGGGTCACTAATGTTAGGCAGGTTTCAGTAGAGCTTCCAGACTAAGACTAGGAAGAAGGGCCTGGTGATCAACTTCTTAAAATCAGCCAATGAAAACCCTATGAATCACAATAGAATGTAGTCTGATACAGTGCTGGAAGGTGAGTCCCCTAGGTTGGAAGGCACTCAAAATACACAGTGGTTGCAACGATGGTCTTGAGCATACCAACAATCGTGGAGATAGTGCAGAATTGGGCATTTCATTCTGTTGTACACGGGGTTGTCATGAGTTGGGGGCAACTCGACAGCAGCTAACAACAACCCTCTACTAGAACACAAGCTCTGTGAGGGCAGGGACCTCATCTGTCTTGTTCACAGCTGTAGTCACAGAGCCTAGAACAGTGCCTGGTATGACGTGGGGTTCACTCAATAAATATTTCTTGATGAATTGATGAGTGAATGGATGAAACCACAAAAACCAAACCAGCTGCTGCTGAGTTGTCTCTGACTCATGGCAACCCCATGTGTGTCAGTACCCTGCACTCCATGGTTTTCAATGGCTGTGATCTTCTGGAAGTAGATCACCAGGCTTTACTTCTGAGGTGCCTCTAGGGGGATTCGAACTGCAAACCTTTCGGTTAGTAACCAAGTGCTTAACTGGTTTTGCCACCCAGGGACTCCTTGAGTGGATGACACAGATATGTGAAAGAAGCAAGAGAGTGTGGTGTGGAAAACCAGCCCTGGAATCTGGTAGACGTGGGTTCACATCTCTGCTTGGACACTTACCAGGTAGGTTTGTGATCTCATTTCGGAAAACTGAGGCTCAGTGAGGAGGTAGAGCTGGTCCAGAATGAAGACTGAATTCCAGCCCCAGCCTGACTCCCCAGCTTGTGTGCTCTTTCTACCACACACTCTCACAAAATATTTCCTGAGCACCTCCAATGTGCCAGGCACACAGGACACAGCCCTGCAGGACAGTCATGTCTCTGTTCATGGCGCTGACCCTCTGGCAGCCTAAACTCTCCTCTGCCTCCCTGGACTCTGGGCCCCTCTGCTATGAGTCACCCTGGGACTTCAGCAAATCTCCTTTCCTCTCTAGGCCTCAGTTTCCCCACCTTGACAATGAGGAGGTTGTAGGAGGCAACCCCAAAGTCCTGTTCCAGCTCCACATCACTGGGACCACCCCCCACTGGCCCCCTGCGCCCTTCCCCACTGCCCTGTGGCCTGCCAGACCCAGCCAATGCACCAATGCAACCGTTTGAGAGCAGGCTCTCCCCGCCTCTCTCTCCCTTCTTTCCCTCCCTTTCCATGCAAGAAAGAAAGACAGAACTCTGAGGTTCCCTGGCCACATTCTGAGGAAAACACACAGCAATGCCTGTCCCAGAGCTGGCAAGCCAGCCCCACCACCAACAGCCATGTCAGCACCAGCCCTGTGAACAGCTCCTGACCTCAGAGCCCTGCCCAGCCTGAGTAAGCTCCACGCTGGGCTTTGCTGGGAGACAGCACTTCTAAGCCTTAAAATTATCTGTTGAGACTCATGCAGTTGGCCCAATTTTACAGATGTAGAAACTGAGGCTTAGGTAGCAGTGTGGCCCGGCCAAAGCCACACAGCTAGGGAGCAGGAGATCTGGGATTCCAACTTATAGCAGTCTTTTCCATCCTGGTGTCAGCTGCTATATTCTGGCCCCTCTAACTACTAGCTACCTACTAGCTGTGTTTCCTTGGGAAAATCACGTCACCTCTCTGAACCTTTACTTTCTCACTGCTTAATGGGATGATATGAATAGCACCTGTCTCATAAGGCTGTAAGATGCCCTGGTTGCACAACGGCTAGGTGCTTAGTTGTTACCAAAAGGTTGGAGATTCGAACCAACCCAGCTGCTCCACGAGAGAAAGACCTGGTGATCTGCTCCTGTAAAGATTACAGCCTAGAAAATCCTGTGTGGCAGTTCTACTCTGTCACATGGGGTCACTATGAGTTGAAATTGACTCAGCAGCACCTAACAACAATAATATAGGGCCAGGGGAGGACTAAACAAGGTAATGAACATCATATGCTGGGCACAGAGCCTGGCACACAGTGAATCCGCAATAAATGTTGGCTGCATGCAGATCACCACCTCTGCCTAAAATCTCACCTGGCCTCCTTCTGTCAGTCCGGTCTTGGCTGAAACATTACCTGTTTGGAGATTAAATTCCCCTGCCCAGTTCCCACGGCAGAAACTTTTGTAAGGCCAAAGACCCATCATGATTTGACCAGCACTTGTCTTCCCTGCCAGGCATGGTGTGGGCACCATGAGGGCAGCACCCTGTGTCTGTCTCCCTGGCCTTCAGCTATAGCACCGGTACCTATCCCAGCTTCCAGCGCGTAGTAGGTGCCCATCAAACTGTGTTCAAGGAACAAACGGCTGAAGAGTCATGACTGACTTCAGCCTTTGGTGGAATATTTCAGCTGAAGAAATGCTTTCTCATCACCATCATTGTGGGTAACAGAACAGCAGCATTACTATCTCTGTTCATCAAGGGAGGCAACAGAGAGGTGGTGTTACCTGCCCGGGGTCACACAGCTCGGGAGGAGCAGAGGCAGGTCCTTGGATCCAGGTCTGTCTGATCCCAGGGGCTGAGCTCATTCCTCAACATGCTGTTCAGCCCACGTGGTCTCAGAGCACCCCTCCTCCATTCCTCTCCCCTCCCCAGGTACCAGCCTCCCTCGTTTGCTTCCCTGAGGCAGGACACAGGGATGCTGGCCTAGTACACAGCCTCTGAGACCCTGCCAGAAGCAGGCTGTCAAGCACCCAGACCCCAGTGTGCTTTGGGCAGGGGTGTGAGTTCAGGCTGACCAGTAGTGGTAGACTGCCAGGGAGGCATGGGGGCGGCGGTCCAGGAAACTGGGTCTGCACATTTTCAGAGAAGCACAGCAATGAATGAAGAGCTAAGACTTCAGGGTCAGGCAGGCCTAGGTTCAAGTCCTGGCTCAGCCACTACCAGCAGTAGAACCTCAGGGAAATCCATTTACTTCCTTGGGATAATAACAGCGGCAAATTGTGAAGAGTTAGTAAGGTCTGTTGGCTCTGCTCTCAAAATATACCCAGAATTGGACAATTTCCCACCCCCTCCACCACTGCCTCCCTGGTCCCAGTCACTGTCACCTCTCTCCTGGATCAAAGCTATGCCACCCCACTGGTCTCCCTGCATGCCCCTGCCCCCAGAAGGTCATCTTAACACAGCCAGAAGGACCTTGTTAAAAGGTAAGTCAGATCACGTCCCTCCTCTGCTCAGAACCCTCTCGTGGCTCCCACCTCACTAGGAGTAAAAAGCCCAAGTCCTCCCTATAGCCCACAAGGCCCTTGAAGTGGAAACACCGCCATCCAGAGCAGCCTGCTGCGGTTGTAGAAAGAAGGCGCTTTGCTGCAAAGATGAGGAGGGGATTATAAGCAGGTCGAACACGGAAAACAACAACTAACAGTGTAAGTCCTGAGTGTGCTGCAGTTTGCCTGCATTGTCTGATTGGCTCTTCACAACAACTTCAGGATTATTCTCTCCATTTAGAGAGGAGGAAGCTGACGTTTTCTGATGGAAGAGGACAGTTCTCCAAGACAGCACAACCCGGAAGGCGCAGACCAGACATCCAGGACTTCGACTTCACAGCGCAAGAGCAGGGGTTGGCAAACTTTTTCTGTAAAGGGCCAAGGAGTAAATATTTTCGGTTTTGCGTGCCGCACAGTCTCTGCTGCAACCATTCAGCTCCGCTGTTCTAGTGTGAAAGCTGCTATAGACAATACACAAATGAATGGGCATGGTTGTGTTCCAATAAAGCTTTATTTACAAACACAGGTAGTGGGCTGTATTGGCCCTCAGGCTGTAGCTGGCCAAACCCTGCTCAAGAATGCTCGGCTCAGCCAGGCAGCTGCTCTTTCCCTCATCCTGAGTCTTGGCCCAGCTGGCTGTCCAGGTGGTCCACAGCTGGGTACAGCTCCCGGCGTCAGTTCTAACGCACTGACCACCCACGCACAGTTCAGGCCCAGCTCCTCACAGTGGCTAGCCCTTCTCTTAAGCAGGCTTCAGCCCTCCCACCAACGTCCTCCTGTTCCTTGGAGGCGGCCATCTGCCTGCCCGCTTCAGAGCGGCTCTGACGTGAGGACCTTGCTGCCTGCCTGCCTCCTCCCCAGCAGCGAGCAGTGTCTGCCAGGCAGCATCTGCTCCATCCACAAAAGGAAACCGTAAGCTTCCCCAGGACATGTGGCAAATCCCCCAGCTTCCTCAGAGCGCAGGGCAGGGGGGCCGAGCCTTGGGAAGTTCTGTCTCTGCCACCAACCAGTAGGTGCCCTCGGAGCCTCAGTTTACCCCTCTGGCCTCAAAGACCTGCCACTTCGTCTTCTGCGCTTGGAAATCCAACCCTGCAAACTGTCACCTCCTCCACCATCAATACCATCATCACGCTTCCGACTGGGCACTTCCTATGTGCCAAACTCAGCTGAATCAATGAATTCCTTCTAAGCTTTACCTGTATTACTCACTATATCCTCTCC